TGGGATGAGAAATCTCAACATCCGTACACATTTTTGGCATTTATCTCATGTAACACTCATCTGGATATTTCTAGCTTAGCTCTTCGCATTATCTCATAGCCCAACAAATGCAGCAGAAACTCCATTTTGAGTATATGTCATCTCACCCTGTGCAACCCTGTTCCTCACGAGTCATATCTCTCAGGCCCGTCTGTCCACATGACAAGAGCAGGGGTGAGGCAGGAGTCATCCGGAAAAAAAGAATAAATCACTTGTGGAAGCAGCTTTGCAGTATGGCAGCAGATGACAGCCGGAGGGGAGTTGGAGGATGGCAGCAGGCATGAGGACCACTCAGCCTGCCTTTCTTTATAATATTACCAGGCAGTTGTGGAGGAAATGGTTACAAGGGCAGGTCATTCTTACCACCAGTAGTCCATCATAAGAAAGCCACAGCCACACAGGGACACACGAAGTGGATCACAGGGGGTGTCGTGTTGATGGTGCTGTTTATATATCTGACTGTCAGTGTGTGTGTGTGATGGTGGAGCGAAGACAAAATGACAATAATGCTCATTTTGACTGTAATGTCTCTTCAGTGTTTTGTGCACAGGTGACGTGTAGTTCAAGAGAACATTTGCTCTATGTTTAGTACAATGAGAGCTCCAGTATGTGAGGCGAGAACGTCGACAAAAGCACATATTACCCCAGCAGGTCCTCAAACATTTATGAGTTCTTCAGCTCATGTTGCTCCACAGAGGCCTGTTAGATTTCATTGCATAATTCTGTGCTCTGTTCCAGCCTCTATTGTGCCAATGAACCTCTGTTTATTTGCCAGGATGTTTTCTATCACTGCTCCCTCAGCTCACAAGCCAGAATAACAATGCCTTTTCATCATTGAAAGGACTGGTTGATCCCTGCTCATGGAGCAGATTGTTGCAAAAATGTGCTCACACAACTGCCTTCAGCAAATACCTTAAGCTGTCTTCACAGTGTTTTGAATGTAAGATTTTTATTAAAACCAAATTAAACCCTGTTTTTATGCTTTTCCAATATCATACTGACAATATGCGTAATAACTGTTATTCATCACTATGAAGTGCTGTTTTTCTGTGAAGTCTAGACCACAGGATATGAAACACTTTTGGTTTTATTTTCACTTTGCCCTTATTCATCACTATATCTTCTCCCAGGAGCAACTTCAAACGTGTTGTGGTTTATGCTGCTCAAAATGCATTTGCATGACGACAAGATAATAGCAGGCACAATCATTTAGAGATGTTCTGCTGTCAGGGCAGTGCTAAATCAAAGTATGAAGAGCTGCCCATGGTTCTGAATTATCCACTGATTTATCCTCCAGCCTCTCTTTCTCTATCCTCTCCACCTTGTCTATCTATCTATCTATCTATCTATCTATCTATCTACTTCCTCTCAGTGGTCATCCATCAACTATAACCTTCTATAAGAGCCTTAGGCAATTTGCAAGTTACCACACAAGGTGAGAGAGAATAAGATGCCCATTACTTTTATTTTAATATTTACTTTAAGTAATTTTTATATTGTATATATTTTCTATTATTAATATTTTATTATTTATTAACACACACAAACACAACTTTTACTGTTTTATTTACTTATTTAATGAAATATATGAAATGAATTGTTCTTATGTAATTTATTTGTAGCTTTTGGCCATACTGTTGTTATACATTCATACTACATTCATGCCAATAAAGCTGATTTGAATTGAATTGAATTGAATTGAACATGAGAGATTTTCTTCACTGAGAAAAAAATGGCAGGAAAAGGCGGAGCTGTAAATGCTAGCATGAGGAAACTACATGAAGACATGAAAGACCAGCTGTACGAGGCATTAGAAATGTCATAAAGCTGAACTGCAATTTAACATGTGCTGAAGATACATATTAACCCTAAATGACCCTATTACTGTGGAAGTGTGTAGTGTAGCATAGCCTGGGAGATCGGATTTAACAGATATTGTCTGTGCAACTAATGGTAAGAATATGACTGAATGGAGGTTGTTTTTCCTGTTAAGACAAATATATACAAGGATGTGAGGGGAACTGTGATCCAATGGTGCCCACTAGTGCTCAAACTATTTCCCTGCACCTTATGGAGCTGATTCTCACACAGTAGTGGTCCACAAACACTGCAGCATTAAAAGTCACAGTTCAGACTGTTAATATTGTGTGAAACGACAAATAGCAAGAAGAAGATGAGAAAAAAAACGTTTTTCCACAATTCTCCATTGGTGCTCATTTATTGTTGGCTCACATACCAGTTATAACCTGCTGCGCCTCTCGTGGAGCCAAATAAAGCAGCATGGGCAGACAGCTGTGGACATGGATAACTTATTGTTAAGAAGAAGAGAAAGAGGTGAAGGGAGGAAGATGAAGAGGGGAGGAGAGAGACTATCCACGCAGGCGTGAGATTGCTTTCCCTCGCTCTTGTTTCTGTCCTCGGGGAGGAGAGTGGGATTCATTTTCTCCATCAGCTTATTGGGGTTGTTTTGTACCACACCTCCATCTGCCTGAAGCAATTGCATTATATGCACACACTTGTAAGTGCACAAACATAAATAGACACAAACACATGCCCTTCCCATAGGCTGTGAAAGCAGATGTTCAAAGCAAAAGGCTGCCCAAGATTCACACTCATACACACACACACAAACACACCCCCTCTGTCAAGGGACATTAAATCAGAGACATTTTTCTGGCAGGACAATCCATCTTACATAAAGATGTCCAAAAACACGATCCCCAAAAAATGGCAGCAACACCATCTTGCGCAACATTCAAGAACTGATTCTTAGCAGGCACACGCAAATTCATAAACACCATCCCCATCCACTCTCACACACACACACACACACACACGGGCAGGGGTGAGGACCTTTTTGTGACCTCAGCTGCTTCAAGCTACTTGTTCTGCTCTGTATTTGTCAATGGCAACAGTTTTCATTCACTCACAGTAAAAGGTCAGAGCAGTCACCTTTTACTTAATCACAGTGTAGGCAGGGCTGTGTGGCGCACGTTTATCCACAGCGGCTCCCCCTCATTCCTCTCCATGAGACATGCTTGCCCATTAGATGGGATGTCTGGCAAACACCCTTACAAGCCATTAGTGGTGGCAAAACCAGAACAATCACGATCATAAATTATTAGCTTCTAATGATGGCTGCTTCCAGGTATTCCGTTACAAGCTCCTGGACTGATGTTTGATTCATTGCTTACCTGAACTGAGCATGATACCGTGAAAAGCATCTTATGTCTTGAAAGCCACACCTGCCATGGAAAAGGCAATTGTTTGTGTGTGTACTCTCTTCAGTTTAATTACCACAGTAAAAGATGTTACTTCAAGCAGTAAGCCTGCTTCCTCCCTCTCCTCCAAGGTCACGCTGTTGGCTACACACACACACACACACACACACACACACACACACACACACACACACACACACACAATGACTATTCATTACACTCATGACAAACAGTATGTACAGAACTAATGCAGATTACAATTATCCATGGATGGCTGGGTGAGTTTGATATTCCCACAGCATGAAACAAAATGCAAGTAAGAGAAGCCAAACAGCAGAGAATAAGAAAACAGCTGATAAAACTGCATCAGTAGTTATGGAGCATCTGCCTCTTCCTTTATCTCAGTTTTTCTCTCTCTCTCTCTCTCTCTCTCACACACACACACACACACACACACACACACACACACAAAGTAGCTGCTGAATGTAGGTCAGTCCTGTAGAGAGATGTGAAAATGAATAGTAAATCAAAACTATCAACCATCAATCCGTCAATGCCACAGCAACACTTCCCCGGGGCTAAACAGCATGCAAGCTACACACACACACACACACCTCTGGTGTTTATGGTGAAAAGATACAGTGGATGTGTTGCATAATTCATCCTAACCAAAGAAATGAGGCATCATCTGAATTCCAATAGCAGGCCAATCCTTACTGAGTCTGTTCAGGTGTCAGCATTACTTTGCATAACATAACCTGGGAATCGCCTCAGTGAAGTCTTCTGGTGATAAAAATGACATCTGTGTTAGGATTTCTATGTGTTCTATGTACTCATTTTATCCCTCTCTCCCCTCTCATAGACACGTCGAAATGCAGGCAGCGCTCTCCTTTTCTTATTTTTTATACATTTGCCCACAGACTGTAGTCTTTACAGCACATAATCAGCTGTGACAGCCATGTCTCCTCAAACTGGTGGCTCTTGCAGCACTGCACCAGCGATTTATTTCTCCTCTTGTTTGCCCAATTGACCATGCGTCAGGTCGAATCAGTGGCAGAAACCAAGGTTGCCACAGAGGACAAAGACTTCGCTGCAGGCCCTCAGACTAACATCTTCAGTCGAAAGGCAGACAGAATGACAGTGCAGGATACAAAAACAGTTTAGGACATTCGGGACAGTCCTTCCACAGTGGACAGGGACTAGTCACAGGACAAGCACTTCTTCACATATCATATTGATGCAAACTTGTGAGTTAGAAGCTTTTGCTATTATGTCCACTTGAGAAGCTGGAACCAGTAAAATGCTTAACATATTGTTAATACTTACCTTCCTTTTGAAATGTCTCTAAAGCACAATTTCCAACAACTTTTTACTAAAAATCTGCATCTAGACATCGCAGGACTCGATTGCAACATAAAGCAGGCACAGTATAACAATACAATCAATTCATTGTTATAAAATAAATAACAAAGAACTGACTTTCTGTTACAGACATTGTTTAGGGGCGCATAATAAACTACACTTCAGTTGAGTGTGAAGATTAGAACATTGTTTGTTGTTCTTCATTTATAACAGATACAATTGTATCCAATCATCTGCCCTTCTGTATGATCAGATAAAAACAAAAGCCTGTATTCAGAAGAACAAACTGGTTTACCGGTATTATGTTGTCTAGTCCAAGTCAGACTACATTTCACGTGTGACGTCAACTGTAAGCGACAGTGAACACGTGATGTTTTGTTTTGGTTCCTCTTCGGGTCTGATCAGACGCAGGACGACGCAGAATGGACCACATCCGCCTCTTCTTTTTGAACGTATTTCTTTTTTGCACCTGCTCGGCTTCACCCCCGAATTTCGTCCTGCTTTTCGCAGATGATTTAGGTTTCGGGGACTTGGGTTGTTATGGACACCCCAGTTCACTCACTCCAAATCTGGATCGCCTGGCAGCGGGAGGACTCCGGTTTACAGATTTCTACTGCACCAGCCCCGTCTGCAGCCCGTCCAGGTATAGGAAGGGGAAGAGTCAGGGCTTATCGCTACTGAACAAACAAATAATCTTTAAATCTATGCACAGCACACATATTTTATCATTTTAAGGTCCCATTAAGTGCTTCTCTGGAACCTTTTTAATCATTTGTGTGAGAGCAGATAAAAGTAGCCTACCACTCTGTATATTACTTGATTTTGACCGTCAGGATTACATCATGTTAACACAGCCTAACTTACCTTTATTATGCATCTCTCCTCTCCTCTATTTAACGAATGGGCCCAACTCCCATGCATGTATTAATACTTGTTGATGAAAATATATCAACCTCATAATGAGAATACTGTACAATTGGAGATAATGTGGTTCATTGTATGTGTGTAGCCATGTCAAAATGGAGAGAATAATTAGTTAGAGGTGTTATTTGAAATAATAATCGGGCAGTGTCACCAAATCTCCAAAAACAAATAGTGTCTGACAGTGTGACTTACACTGACATCATCAGTTCATTACAACATTACAAGATTTAACTTTATACAGCAGAGTGCAACGCTTGAGAGAGGAAATGAAAACAGATCATGTGGTTAGTGAGTAATAAAGTAACACAACTGATAAGCAGTTCTCAGTACTTTACACAAAAACAACTCGGTGTGGCATGCAAAACAAAAAATATTACATCACTTCATCAGCTTCAGCAACGCATTGTTCAACAGAGTTTGAACACAGTGAACGAGGAAGGAATGAAGAGTCTTATATTGAACAACTTTTATTCCTTAATCCACATACTCCGTTCACATTCTCTCTGGGTGTAACAACATTTGGTTCACAATGAGAATATCTCATTTGTAAATTAATTTTACAAATTTAATTTTAATTTAGTAGATAGTAGATTTAATTTTTTAAAATTAATACATGGTTTAGATCCTACTGTCCACTTTCTATCTTGCACAACATAAAAAAACTGAGTCCACACACAAACTTTACAGTCCTTCCTACCCCACTTAAATAATAGCTCTGTTTTGTTTTGATTTCTTTCCAGGGCATCGTTGTTGACAGGGCGCTATCAGACCCGCTCAGGTATCTACCCAGGAGTGCTGTACCCAGGCTCTATAGGAGGTCTTCCCCTGAACGAGACCACCATAGCTGAAGTGTTGAAACCTCTTGGCTATGCCAGTGCTGCTATAGGGAAGTGGCACTTAGGAGTTGGAGCCAATGGCATGTTTCTTCCAACCAAGCAGGGGTTCGACCAGTACCTGGGGATCCCCTACTCCCACGACATGGTCAGTGCCATTGCATTTAGCTCCAAACTGAGTTTGACAAATTTATATAATGTTTTGCAGTGTAATCTGTGTTAGTCAGTTATTGTTATTTGTTAAGAGTCATTTCTTTTATGTATTTTAATATTTGTTCTTTGTTCTGTGCATTTGTTTCTTTCCCAGGGACCCTGTAGGAACCTGACTTGTTTCCCTCCAGATGTTAAGTGTTTTGGATTGTGTGATGTTGGCACTGTAACTGTCCCACTAATGCACAATGACATCATCAAGCAGCAACCAGTTGACTTCCTCGATCTGGAAAGGGCTTACAGTGACTTTGCCACCAAATTCATTACCACATCAGCCAAGAAAAACCAACCTTTCTTCCTCTATTATCCTTCACATGTAAGCAAAAAAAACAGTCTGTGGTAGAGTGCCCATCGAGTGGGCAAAATAACACTTACTTTGATCAGTTAAACTCTTCAAAAGACTTAAAATGTGTTGCAAAGTGTGTAGTACATGTCTACATTTAAGTGAGTTTTTCAAAGCAAGAAAGTCCACAATGTTTTCAACCCTGTGTAGATAGATTATGGCAACTGCATATGCAGTGAGATAAACTACAATAATTTCAGCATCTTCTATTTTCCCTACAGCACACCCACTACCCCCAGTATGCAGGTCCAGGGGCAGCTGGGAATCTTTGCGGGGCCCATTTGGAGATGCTCTGTTGGAGTTCGACAACACAATAGGAAACCTGCTGACAACCTTGGAGAAGACTGGAGTGATCAACAACACCCTGGTCTTCTTCACTTCAGACAATGGGTTGGTTTTTGCCGCTGGTTTACAAAAGAATCTATGGCCTGGATATATTTGTAGTCACTTCCATACTTTCTTATGCAGACATTTTTATCTCCCTCCACAATAGCTGTAGTACAGTAGTGTGTTTTTCTTCTGTTTAAAGGTCAACTTGCATTTTATCTTTGCCCTCATTTATATTTGATTTATTGCCTTCTTATTAAATCGCATTTATTGTCTTTTATCAAGCGGTGTGTTTTTCCTGTCTCTGTGTGTAGCCCTGAACTGATGCGAATGTCTCGTGGAGGTAACTCTGGCCCCCTGAAATGTGGGAAAGGCACCACATATGAGGGGGGCATGAGAGAGCCAGCCATTGCCTTCTGGCCAGGGATCATCAAGCCAGGTCAGGACAGCTTAGTCATCTGCACTACATTACAAGCATCAACTGGTCTCATTTTGGTTCCAATATGAAAATAAATACCATAATGAAATGAATACAAACTCATTTACACATGACCTTTTAGTGATGACTGCAGCATGCTCTTTTTCTGTATTCATTTCTTTAGGTGTGACTCATGAGATGGCCAGCATTCTAGATATCCTCCCTACTATCGCAAGTCTGGCAGGAGCCACACTACCCCAGGTGATGCTGGATGGTGTCGATATGAAGGAAATCCTTGTCAACCAAGGAAAGGTAGTGGAAGCATACCTTTTACTCTGTAGAGATTGAAATAATTTGAAAACCAAGCTGATGTGTTCATTTTTATCTTTAATCCTTTGCAGGGTAAAAGGGAGACAATGGTGTTCTACCCCACAGATCCCAGTGAGATGTATGGTTTGTTTGCTCTCAGGCTGGGGAAGTACAAGGCCCACTTCTATACACGAGGTATAGAAGGCTTCATAAATGCAATTTGTTAAAATACCAAGATCAAGCATAATTACCTAGTCAAAACTGACATATTTTTGACAGCTGCTTGTCTGTGTTTGTGTATCAGGTGCTACCCACAGCGGTACCATCCCAGACCAAGACTGCTCAGTATTTGCAGTCCTCAAGGCCCATGATCCCCCTCTTATTTTCGACTTGGAGGCTGACCCCTCTGAGAACTACCCTCTCATCCTGAAGGGAAAACCCGACCTCCAAGCCCTGCTGGAGAAGATCAAGAAGGTCAAGGAGCAGTTTGAAGCCTCTATGGTGTTTGGAGAGAGCCAGATATCAAAAGGAATAGACCCGAACCTTGAGCCTTGCTGCAATCCTCAGTGCAGCCCAAAGCCTGGCTGCTGCCACTGTTGATGTGATAAATTCTCCTATCTGCAAATGATGACAATGTGGGAAAGGATGGAGGTACTGCACTGATTTTGCCTCAAGATTGCTCTATGAATGCACAAGATGTGATGCTGATTTTGTAATTATCTGATGATGCATCGCTACTTGCTTGTGGACAGCTAGACTTTAATTACTGTTCATACTGAAAAATAATATTGCAAGCAATCTGTTTCCTCAATGAGGAGATGAGTTTATATTGACTACATTTAGAACTAATGCATAACAATGTACTGTATATTTTTCCTGACATAATCTATTTGAATACATGTTTTATTGTTTGATTTATTGTGTAATATCCACCTCAACATTCTTTAAATTAACACATTTTAGAATAAATGAGTGGTGTTTTATGTGAAAGTGCTTTGCAACATACAGTATGTCAGTCCCACAAGCAATCAAGAGGAGATCTGAACAGTAAAGACAACAATAAAGGTTTCGGACATCAAGCATATATTTTATTCATAAGACCAAACCCATGACAAGGCAGAGTGATTTTTTTGTCATTTTTTTTCTTTGTTTTTCCCTGGAATTTTACAAGTCCTTGTTTTTAAAGATACAAGATAGGATATGTTTGTTCTGTCACATACTGTTTTGCTCTAGGTATACAGTGAAGAATCTTGTTAATGTAATAAAGTCAAAAGTTTGGTTTAACTGTTAATGTATGTCTCAGTGGCTATATAGGAATAGATCATCCTCAGAGGTTGTTTTTGTGTAGCTGTGTGGAAAGAAGGATTTTAACTAGGCTGTAACAAGATAGAAAACCATGGATCAGAAGCAAATAGATGCAGATCAGAGATGGGGCACACTGTTGGAGCTCAAGGGCAATTACTACAATTGGCAAGACGCAATAATAGTTTTCCAGTGGCAGCTGACTCAGTCACTATTCAGCTCTAACAACACATTGGTCAGAAGTCTGGTGGGCGTGTCTCACTATTGATGTCACATCTCACAAAATGTGCCCTAAATGTGCTGCTGAAGCTTGTCTGTAGAGAGTTATGGAGTTGGCAGGAACCCAAATGCCACCTGTGTGACAGATATTGAGTTAACATCTTGTGTAGAAACAATAGACACTGAAATAAAATTATTGCAGATCACAAATATTAATGTGTTTTTTCTTTCAGGGGTTTTTGTCTGGTTGTGATCTTTTTTTAAATGTCTTTTTAATTAACGTACATATTAATTTCATTTCATAACATACTCAACATAAAGGACACATAACTATCTTAGATTCACTATTGTATATACATGATCTAACTGACAGCGATACATATGTAGATAACACCCTACCTCCCTCCTGCCATATCAACTTTCATTGAACACTGAAATCCTGCAGATCTGAGGTGTTTGTTCTGGTGGACTGTGACTGAAAGCTGTAGAACACGAGGCTAAACAGCATCTGAAAGAACAATGGGGATGGTTGAGGTGGTAATCCTCAAAGCCTGAATTTTTTTCGCATCATTTTTTAAATATACCCCCTCCCTTATATAAGGTGCTAGACTGTAAGCTATGGTATGCCACAACAACCCCAGAGTAGGTTATTGTGTAATGCGCAAATGATGCTTTAACCTTTGCCCAGACTAAAAGCCATAAATAAATGTGGGAACATCTTTTATCTATCGTACTTAAAAAACAAGATTGAAGTCTAACCATTTACATAACTATAAAACCTCCCTTTTAATGCTTTATTAAAGGTTTGATTACATTGTGATACCAGGACCAAGTATTAGCAGGACGCTCTCACTCCTACAGTAGGCACACAGCAATACAGCATTACTAAGATGTGGCTACCGGTCAGTCTAGTCATTCCTTTTCCCTCATTGAACCTGCCAAATCAAAAGAAAACGGAGACCAGGATGTCACTGAAAACCAGAGTTAAACAGTCAGAGGTGTGTGAATATGGCTTTTCAGAAGACCTTTGCTTTCTTTGACCTGAAGTCACATCAATCATAGCAAAGCATACAGTGATCTATGATTTGCAATTTTCACAGTTGAATGATTTCCTATGAAAGCTCCCCACGGTGAAGCAAGCAGTCAGCAAGCAGTGCAACTTTGAGGACTGGACAAGAGTAAAATGGTTCTGTCACATCATCAACATGTGCAGACGAGTACTGCACACATAATCCAAGCTGAATAAAGTGTCTGCAGGGCTAGTGACATTCAAAGTTCATTCCAAATCATTACAACATTTCCGAAATCTCTTACACCTGCAGTTACTCCTGTCAGAGTGAGTCAGCATTACCCACAACAAAACAAAACCCCCCACCAGTCTCAGCTGTGTTTCTTAATTACTCTGGATGAGGTGCCTGAATGTCTACTTTCTATACATTTATTTACAACACACACTACATCTTGTACGCGACACAGGGGTAAGCTCAGACCAAAGACAGTTCACTGTACTCTCTCTACTTTGCTCCAATGTCACTATCAGTAGAAATCAAATTAGCAGTTTGTCAATATTGAACAAATACATATTTACAGTTAATTCAACACCAACCTCTTGATTCTACATCATTCCCTTATTGATTGTTGAGCTGCTTGCCATTCACTTGGATATGTGTATTTCTTGGTGTGTCTGTGTGCATTAACCCTACTAGCCATGCATTGAAAAGTGAAACAGCAGTAGTAGGTACATTGTTTTCATTTCAAAAGAGGAACCTTTAAATAAACAGGTGCTCAGCGTTTTAGTTTTATATCATAAAAAAAGACAAAAGAAACAGGCAATCAATCCATCGAGATGATGGAAATAAACAAGAGAGATGAATGAAATCAGTCAAATGCCTAGCATACTGTAGAAAGGAAGATTCCAGTTTTAGAGGGACACAGAGGAGTATTTTACCATGGAGAGGAGACCCTCCCCCACTGACAGCGCCCTCTGGTGGCAAACTCGATGAACATACACAAGCTGTGGCGAAAGAAGGTGGTTGTCGTTCCAACACTTCTTACTCCAGGTAGATGTCCTCAGTGGGGCAGGCGTACTCCAGATGTTCCTGGTAGTACTCCTGGAAGGCTCGTCTGCAGAAAAGACAGACAGATGAGAGCAGCTGTTAGAAGACACCCTTCCATTGTAAGCATTCATCTAGTGACAGATTTTACACAGTCATGCTCTGGCTGTTTACTAAGAAATGGCATGTAGGCACATACACGTAAGAATGCTGGATTCAATAAGTCTAATGCAAAAACAGAGCCACTTTCTCTGAATCAAAGGAGCGTGATTGTTTTTCACAAGGTTTCGTTGGGTCTATTCCACAGACAGAGCAGGATGGGAAGTTGATAGATGAAAAAGGTTTTTCCCATCCCATGCTTTGCTGCCCACCCTCAATCAATCCAGAGACAGTATCTTTAATTATTCAAACCTAATACAGAAGAATCAGACATGTCTAAGCCGGCAATCATTATTCAGCCTTACACACATGGGCACCATGAAAGGCTACAGGGCAAAACAAATAATCATCACTGCTCACTAATGCAGCTAAGATGAGAGTGACTGAACGTAAAGATGCACTGTAATTCAATACTTTGAGATCAGACTACAATGGCAAACCATCAAAAAGCACTTTAAGTATGATGTGCTGCTAAATAGTTAGTGTGAATTTCCAATATATTTTAAAACCTGTTCACTCACAGTTTAAGTGGATTAAATTGCAATAAAATTAATGTCAACTCTATGTCAAGAGATTATAGTATACAAAACACACAAAAAAGATGCAAAGTCATTACTGTCCCTTGGTATCTGTTTGATATAGAGCAACTGATATAATAATGTGATTTGGACTCACCCAACACACTCTGCTACAGGTCGCATGGACTCCTGGGATACAAACACGTGGCAAGCAAATCTGTTCAACATTGGGTGCTTAGTGATGAAGCCAAAGTAGCTGCAGAGGGAAGACAACAATATGATGAAATCAGCCATATGTAACAGTGTACACTGGTTACACGAGGGCAGAGAAACCAGTATGTTTGTATACCAGTTGTTTCTCGGATGGCATCCACAGAATGAGATGTTCTTCATCTGGAAGAAGTGACTACATCTGTCATACTAAAGATGGAGAGAGATGCACAAGCAAGCATGGGGATAATTGACAACTGAAGAGATAATTGACTTTGACTAAAATATTTGAGTAGTTTCTTGATTCATTTAATTATTTCTCCACACCTCATCAAGGGTATCATATTCATCCTCCAGGCTCATGATCAGTTTTACTCCTTGCAAGCTAATCTCCAACTCGCACAGAGAAGGAGGTCGCACATGTACTGTCCGTTTCCTCGATATCGCAATCTAAGGAAGAGAAAATATTTTCATGTCAAAAACAAACATGTTTTAAAGCTATAGGGTTGGTAATGTTGGAGAAACTAGCAAGAGCTCCCTTCAGGCCTCCCTTCAAAGCAACTCCAACAAAACACATTTTCACAAAACACAATGAGTGCGCACAGGAAGGTAGGTATAGGCAGGTAGGCCAGCCAATTCAGGCCGAATAAAACAATTTGCTGTGCTTATTTTAGTCCTGTGACAGCCACAGATGCTATATTTCTTATGTTTTTGTGTCAGAGCATTTGATTTATTAATTGCTGTCTGGATGTACAAAGAATTTAGACAAATATAACAAAAAAACTCTTCTGAAATAAATTGCCTAGTGTGCAACGATGTAGCACACATGCTTGTCTCAGTTTTGAGCTATTGCCCATGTGTGTTGCTGTTTCCACTTAGCTCACCTTCTGCATGGCGGCGCAGAGAATGCCGTTGCCTTGGTGATAAGGTACCTCAACAGACCCCAAAAACTGAATGCTGAAAGTCTCAATCCATGCTGGATTTCTTTTCATTCCTACAGGGTGTAATGTAGACACATACATACAGAACATGTGATTCCTCTGTCATTCCCAATAACACAGAAGAAAAGATGTATCTCTCAGCTCACCCAGCAACTCCTTAGACTGGCCTATGACCTCATGGGCATAAAAGGCAGGAA